AAATACATGGTTGTTATGCAACTGGCATATTCAGCTGAACTGTATGTAGCACTGGAAATTATCCCATAGAGTTTTCGCCCCACCCTCACTAGTAGGTCATCTTACTACACATGTCTGAAGACATTAGTTGTTAAGTGTAAATGTTGTCAGCTTACTCTGAACATGTCAGTCAGGAACTGGGCGATGCTCTGGAGCAGCATGCGGTTTGGCAGCAGTTTGGCGCTTTTCCTGGCAGCCATGTAGGCATTGCTCTGACCCACCAGAGCCCTAATCTCCTCCAGCGCCGAACGAGTGTCAATATTGTCACACAGAGCCTCATGAACTGCCTTCTTCTTCTCATAAAAACTACACATGAAACACTGTGTTTTAGTGTTTTTCATTTATTTGAAAGCATGTTAGGACACCTGAATAAATCTCAGGAAGTTTTTTAGTTGAGTACAAATCTAATTCTGTCTCTTCATTCCAAATATAACGTGTTGGTCCCGACAACACAGTAATCAATACGTAAATGATCCTTTAAATAAGATCTATATGCTTGTGTGTTGTGTGCATCCAGACCAATTACAGATATCTCTGTGGTTGTTTGGGAAATCAAGGCATTCTTATGATCCAACATGCACAAAATCATTTTGTTAGAAAATAAAGAGTGGTAAATTACGACTGACAATAGACCATGTCTGCCAGCTGAAAGGACAAAATTACTGACCTCTTATTCAGTTCTATCTCTTCTGCTTCCCACTTCTCAAACTGACCAGTGATGTCAGTAGGAGTCCTCAGGATATCTTTAACATTCAGGAAGAACTCCTACGGACAGAGATAAATTCAGCATTAACGCTGAAAAAAATGGTATCTTAGCAAGTGAAATTCTCAGACCTAATCAACCTAACAATTCCTTCTCATATAAACTTGTTTTAACCTTATCATAAGATTACATAACTTATTTTTTGCTTGTTTTAAGTGATTTCAGGTAGTCGAATTATCTCACTATAATGGCAGATTATTTTGCTTGTTGTAAGAAATATGCTTGAAACAAGCCAAATGATCTGCCAATGTAGCAAGACAATCTAACTTTCAAAAATCATTGACTAAATATGTTTCATAATCTTATGAAGGTTACAACAACCTAAAAATGAGAAATACTAGATAAATTGGCTAGATTTAAGATAGTTTCACTTACCAGGACACCATAACTATACCATATCTGAAGCTGTAAAACACATAACAGCAGATCCACTACATACTACAGCGCTGATGTGGGCAACAAACTCACATTCATGAACTTCTCGTACTGAATGGCCGACTCCATGGTGTTATTGGAGTAGTCCAGTGTGTCCTTCCACGAGTGCATCAGGAAGGCCAGACGCAGCTGCCTTGCTGTGGAGAGGTACGACATAGTTTAGTAAAATGCAGCATACCGACTTACTGATTATACACAGACAGGAGACAAAACAAAAACCAACATGAAGCGTCTTGGTAAGGTGTTGGGCCACCACGAGTCACCAGAACAGCTTTAATACCCATTGGCATTAATTCTCCAAATCTCTGCAAATGTACTGGAAGCATTCTTCCAAAAGATATTCCCTTATATGTTGTTTCTTGCTTTCACAGCCTGATCACATCCTACCCTGACTTTCTCAATCACCTCAGGCACAGCTGCTCCTGTTTTTCCCTACATATTGCACTAACGCACAAGCATTATGGTCACTGCACATACACTTTCAGCCACAATTTCCAACTCCATTTAATGATGTCTTTCCCACAGATCTAAATGCATGTCACTTTAATCAGTGTTCTATTGAAACACTAGCCAGCTGAGCCTCATTCAAAGTCACTTAGATCTTTTCCTCTTGCCATCTCGATCTAAATTCGAGTTCAGCTGGGCCTGCTCAGCATTTTAATACACGCCACAGAGCATAGTAGGATGATAACACTTAACTCTGACCAGCAGTACACCTGTCTGGGAGCATCTGCACTCGTTATGCTTCTCGACTCATTTATTCACGTATTTCTTTAGTTAATCAGCCATCTGTATGTACTAAAAAACTAACTACACAATGAAACAAACTTCATAATCTTACAAAAAATGGCCTCAAATAGCAAATTGCTCACACGGTGACTTATTTACCTACGTATTAAAAAAAAATGCTGTAGAACCAGTACCTGTGTGTTTGGCGAGGGCGTCTTTAATGGTGATGAAGTTTTTCAGCGATTTGGACATCTTGCAGCCAGCTATTGTCAGGTGACCCGTGTGTAAGAAATAGCGCACCCAGTGGTTATTCTCAAAGTAGGCCTGTATAGACATGATACCATATCCAGCAGATCAGAAAAACAGGGCTTCTCCGTACAGTAATAAAAATGTATTCATATTCATCCATAGCACTTGGAACCATTTTCAGGAAGTTTCAAGAAACACTAAAATGCAATTAGTATAATTAGTGTAATTTGTCAAAAGCCAGCTTATTTATCATCTGCAACACTGTGTGAAGGATTTTAAGACAACATTTCTGCACCTCAGACTGTGCCAGTTCGTTGTCATGATGAGGGAAGCGCAAGTCAAATCCTCCTCCATGAATGTCCATAGACTCACCCAATATGGACCCAGCCATGGCTGAGCACTCAATGTGCCAACCAGGCCGTCCCTAAAAAGCAGACAGAAAAAGTGATGCCACAGAACACATTCTAGTATTACAACTAACGCTATTACTTTTGGTGCATGACCAAGAATGCAGGTGATGTAGCTTAACTAATGTATCATTCATCAGACAAGAAGCTAGAAACATAGTTGTTGTACGCAACATTATGGCAGAACTCTCTAAAAAAAGCATTTCATCAATATGCCACTGTAGGTTAATGGATAAAACGTGATGCGCTTGTGCTCACCTTCCCCCAGGGGGACTCCCAGGATGGCTCCCCAGGCTTTGATGCCTTCCAAAGGGCAAAATCGTTCTGTGAACGCTTCTCAGACAGTCGATCTGCCGAAATACTCAGGTCTCCTACAAAACGTATATACGCATCATTAGCGCTGTTGATCAGGGGCAAGTGCACAGTTTGAAGTCTTTATCACCAGACTGTGTAACCCATGTCAATCATTTTTCATGTACTGTACTGAACAATATAAATAAAAGGCCTTAAATGTGCACCTTCTCCCTCTTGTAGAGCTTTCTGATCACCCACTGCCTCTGGCACCAATTTGGCATATGAATGGGCTGAGCTAGCATCAAACTTTGCAGTGTCAAAATACACTGAACCATTTGACTCATATCTGCACAAAGAAGAATGAGAAACAAATGAGCACAATCACTAGAAAACTACACCTTGTAAATATGGAAAATATGAAGACCATCATACTAACCCATATCCATTGTCCACTATTTTCTTCACAAACTCCACAATTTCTGGAACATACTCACTGACCCGTGTGAGTACATCAGGAGGAAGAACCTGTCAATCAAACAGTGTTACTGAGCAACTCATCATTGTATGTGTTCAGTCAACATCTCTTTTCTACAGTTTTTTGGAAGGCAAAGAAAGATCAACACATTTAGCACAAAACTCTGATGATATGTGCTAGTACATGCAGTACTACAGTACGACAGTCCACATACACTGTAGGGACAAAAGTACTGGGACACCTACAGGAGCTTTCATGACACCCCCTTCTAAATCCATAGGCATTAATATGGAGCTGGTCCCCCATCGCAGTTATAACAGCATCCACTCTTCTGGGAAGCTTTCTACAAGATTTTGGAGAGTGTCTGTGGGAATTTTTTCCCATTTATCCAGAAGAGCATTTGTGAGTTCAGACGCTGATGTTGGACGAGAGGGTCTGGCTCACAATCTCTGTCGTAGTTCATCTCAAAGGTGTTCAGTGGGGTTGAGGTCAGGGCTCTATGAGGGCCAGTCAAGTTCTTCCACATCAAACTCACCCAGCCATGCCTTTATGGACCTTGCTTTGTGCACTGGGGCTCAGTCATACTGGAACAGAAAAGAGCTTTCCCCAAACTGTTCCCACAAAGTTGGAGGCATTCAACTATATAAACCTCTGGAAAACCACCATTTAACATTATCCCTCCTCCACCAAACTTTACAGGAAGGGTGCAACGATCACTCAACGTAGTTGACTAAGTTCTGTTATATTTTATTGCTGCTACTTTGTATAGTGAATTCTTGAATGTTATTCATCTTTGTCTTCATTGTTAGTTAGCAAATGCATAAAACAATATCAAGCTAAATTTAAAAACTAATAGCTACATAAGAGTTGTTTGGTCATGTAGTGATTCATAATCCGAATATCAATCAATTATCCGTTTCAGTAATCGACAGATTATTCGACTATCAAATTAGTTGTTTGTTGCAGCCCTACTTTACAGTGGGCACAATGCAGTCAGGCCGGTAGTGTTCTCCTGGCATTCTCCAAACCCAGACTCGTCCATCAGACTGCCAGATAGAGAAGAGTGATTCGTCACTCCACAGAATATGTTTTCACTGCTCCAGAGTCCAGTGGTGGCATGATTTACACCACCACTTTTTGAGCTGATTTTAATGCCAGAGGAGGTTTCAAACTCTGCAGTTATTGAGTCAGCAGAGCGTTGGCGACTTTTATGCACTGCTCTGTAACTTTACGTGGTCTGACACTTTGTGGCTCGGTTGCTGTGGATCCTAAACACTTCCACTTTTCAATAATACCACTCACAGCTGATCGTGAAATATCTAGGGGGGAAGAAATTTCACAAACTGACTTGTTCCAACGGTGGCATCCTATTACAGTACCACTAATGAGCTCTTCACAACGACCCATTATTTTACAAATGTTTGTAAAGGCAGACTGCATGGCTAGGGGCTTGGGTTAATACGCTTGCGGTAATGGGACTGAATGAAACACCTGAATTCAATAATTAAGAGGTGTGTCCCAATACTTTTGTCCATACAGTGTATGTCAAAACTCACGTTCATGAACTATATTGCAACCTAAGTTTAAAGCAAGGACCATGAAAATTTTCTTTAAATAAAACACCAACACTTCACTTACATTGAGAGCATCCATGTCTTTGTGATATTCCTCTTCCCAGTATTTTGGCAACAGGGAGAATATTGAGTTTTCTGTTACTTGGCAGCCAAACTGGGAATCCAACCAATCTGACAAAAGGTCCTTGGCTTCATCCAGCAAGACCTAATGAATGAGCATCCAAAGCAAAATAAGAACTAAAATAAACTTCCAGGATTCATTACAGTGCTTGAAGAGCACAGGGATTAAACATAACCTTTGAACTGACAGCATAAACAGGATTCAGTTTTAAAGTTTTAAATTGCAATTCTGATCAAGCTAGGTCACAATTAGGCTCAGTCTGTTGCTCTTACATTAAGGTTTACGATAAGATTTCACACCTACCTGTGCCTGGCTCTGAATGGCAGCATCTGCAGTGCCACTCTTTATCGCCCCCTGCAGGGGAGTCAGTGCAGCTGTCACTGCTGTGTCCAGTCTCTCCAGCATCTGTTTCTTATCAGGGTCTGTGGTCTCTGCAAGCTTGGCTTGGAAGAGCTAAAAACAATGCAACAAAATCCCTTAAGCACCCACTATTACACACACAAATTCTAAAGATAGAAACATTTGGTAAGAGGCTGATCGCTGGTAATCTGTGCAGTCTGACGTAGCCACAGTTTCAGAGTTAAGTTACAATTAAACTCATCATAGTTATAGCAAGCTCAGTTACCACAGACTTAAGAGTCTGCAGTCTGAGACAATCAACAGTTTGTAAAACAAATGATCATTAAAATGGGCATAAAGTGGAGCTGCTCTATCATTTTACATGTCAGTTACAAAATATCACACCGAATCCGATTCTTAGAGACCCAAGCGCAGAAGGTTCTGGAACCCTACTGGAATTGCTTTATGTTTTCTTCATGTTTTTTTTTACATATCTACAGTCGTATGCACATGTTTGAACACTCTTGGTCAAATTACATGTTTTATTAATTTTGGAAATTATAAAAATATTTATAGACACACACTTAAAAATGCCATTTTTTGGCCATATTTATGTTTATGTTTAGCATACTGAAAAAAAAACAAAAAACTTTTAATACAAAATGTGCCAAAAAACAGTCATGTTTGGTTAAATTCACAAATAAACATTAATTGTGCATTGAAATGTACAGAAGTGTGTTCTCTGCAGATAATGTATACTCACTTTCACTTAGCAAATCAAGAGGGGTGCACAAACGTTTGCATATGACTGCATTTACTAGCCAAGTGTGCCGTTTTACTAGAGCCTTCAGTGGTGTTTTCTTCTAGGTCATTCTACTGTATGAAAAAGTGTTGTGCGATAAGCAGATTCTCACCCCTCTAGCAGTCAAGACATCCTGCAGTATCTGAGAGGCACTGGGCTTCTTTGCTCTGTACTGCTCCAGCAGGTGATTCTGCCTGGCTCTTTTAATGATCTGAAACACAGCAGGATGTCATCACTCACACTGGCCTGTCAAACCTCAAACTGACATCAGTGTACACTTGCAAGGGACCTAGTCTAAACATGCCATTCATCTATACTGTCTACACAGCTTTCTGTGTCTCATCTGAGAGGACTGTGTGTGAAAACAGCACTGAGCAAGCACTAAAGCCACAATCATGTGTTTATATCATCTTATTTATATCAATTATTTATTTTCTGGTGAAAACATCCATTAAGCACAGGTTATTCATTTTTCAGGAGATTTGATATAAGATAATCCACTTGCAGAGTGAAGGAAATAAATAAAAACCAGTTTCCAAAACTTCAAAAAATGATTAAAAGATGTGGATAAAAATGGGATTCCTAACAACCGTGCAAGGCCTGGTACACCACCAGAACTGTCATCATCAGATAAACAGTACTTATACTTTCATCTCTGAAAGAAAATCAAGCTCCACTCTTGCAGATCTGAAAAATCTTATCACTGTGAGACGCCAACTCAACACTATGAGTCTGACAGGATGTTAAGCTGTCAAGAAACCGTTACAAAGAAAAGGAATTAGACAGAAAAGAACACTTGTGATTCAAACAAAAAAGCTGCTGGTGTCCTCAGACCAACGGACTGGCCACCCCAGAGTCCAATCTCAATATCACTAAATGCGTTTGGGATTACTCAGATCTGAGAAGCAGAAAACGCAACTAATTTCTAAGACTGAACTTAAGAGGTGTGAAAATATGCCCCTGCAGGTTTCTTTGAAAAACTGAAATTAAGTCTCCTTTTCCTGAATAACTTGCATTTAATGGTTATTTAGTCTGGAAATTAAATAAATGAAGGCTGTTCTCTGACTTTTGCACAGTACTGTACATAGTACAGTTTTCTTCTTGGAACAAAATAACATAATCCTATTCTAAATTATACCATGCAAATTCTTTGGCATCTTACTTTGTCATCAATGTCGGTGATGTTCATGCAGTAGAAGACATCATATTTAAAATAGTTCATCAGTATCCTTCGAAGGATGTCAAAGGATATGTAGGATCTGGAAGCACAAGGAGAAGAAGAGCAGACACTTCAGAAACAGACAACCCAAGGCTGCAAATAGAAGGTTTTTTGCAGGGGAGACAGGAAATGGCCTGATCACTGGATGAGTCTCTCAAGTAAACTACTATTATTTGAGAACCTGGAGCTTCTTTCCAAACTGCAACACAAACGTTCTTGTATAACATCTGAACATGCTGTGGTTCAAATACACTCTCTAAAGGTTCATCTAGGATCATATTATCTCTATGATGCTTGGGCAAATCAGACAGTGCGAAACAGAGTTCAATTACAACATCTTGTTTTTTCTCTTTTGTCAACTGAAATAGAGATAACAGCAAACAAATCATCAGTTTGGGTTTAAAGGCTTCAATGAATGCTTTAGCCTGGTCAGTGTGTTCTGCAGTGGCCCTATAGAACCATCACAAAGAGTACTGTTCCAGAAAAGAAGTGAAAGGGATTCTAGGGAACACACAGAGCTCAATTAAAAGGGCATGAATGACTATAGAAAGTGGTACCTGGCATGACCCATGTGGGAGGCATCATAGACTGTGGGGCCACAGCAGTACCACAGCACCCTGTTCCCATGCTGTGGGACAAACACCTCCTAAAAAACACCAAATAATAACCGCATTCTGTTAGCATGTATAGAAAAACTACAAACAATGCTTACATACATTACATATAAAGTAACTATGACTAACAGATTTTGCATCAGATTTTTAAAAAGAGCCACTGAACTGGCAAACTGTGGTATTATTTCTGTACTTTTTTTCAAAACTGTATATTATGTAATAGAAATAATAATAATAAAATAAAATGGGTTAAACAGTATTGATTTTGGAACATTAAATTGCAATAAATCCTAATTCAATTTAATAAAAGGCATTTATTTTTGCCTCCCACCTTCCAAAAAACTTGTGTTATTATCTATATTCCTCTACTGAAGTGGATTCCCAGCCCTGGTCCTGGGGTACCTGTCCTGTACATTTTACTGTTTTCTCTGCTTCTAACACACCTGTTCCAATTAGTCAGCTCATTAACAAGCCTTTCATGACTTGAAGACTGTGTGCTGAACGCTGCGAAAACTAAATGTGCAGAGCAGTGCACAAACGTGCAGTGCAGTGCAGTGGGTTCTCCAGGAGCAGGGTTCGGAACCTTTGCTCTACTATATAAATGGTTCCACCATTTACATTTCTGTACTCATTGTATTTTTCAAACGTCAGAAAGTTTTCATTATTCAAATTATGAACATTCAACAAGTCATTATTCCAGAAATTAGAAATAACTTCTCTCCAACATTATACAATCTAATCTCAGATCCACAAGCTGTCTGAACTCTATAATCATAGAATCATACTGCAGTGAAATGTGGGCCTTCCTACAAAATCGTAATTCATTTACAGAGATTACTACGTAATTTCAGCGCCATACATAATATGGGCTACTTGTACAAACTCAGTGCCATTTTTTGGAACGTGCTGCTGGGATCAGTTTCAGAATGGACATATATTTACAAAAAAACAATGAAGTTGTTCCACAATGAAAAGTGGAATACAATCCACTTTTATTTTACTTTATTTACTTACTGTCCCAGCTTTTTTGGAATTGAGTTTGTAATAGACAGCAGTACCGAGAAGTTATTTTGTCTGATTTACGCACCTTTGTCCGTGTTAAGCTGTTGTAAAGTCGGAGTTTCGGAAGCTCGGTTCCATCCGGGGGAGACCATGGAGGCTGCACCCTCTTTCCCTTTGCTAAAAGGTATAACGCATCATTTATTAAAAGATTAATTCACAACAATTTACATAAGAATGATGAATAAATGGCCATAGTTATGGAATGGACAGTCAGGTACAGCTGTGTCTCAAGCACACATGCTCATTATGGAAGGTCCACTGCATGTGGTAGGTGAAATGTGTTTGATCGTCTCTTGCTCAAACACTCAGACATGTGCAAATGTAAAGGACACAGAAATATGAAGGGACGAACATGATGCAAGAACTGTTGACAGTATACACAAAGCAGCAAAGACGCTGCTGCAAATGAAAGTAACTGAGTGAACTGCCTACAGTCACTAGCAGTATGAGCTGGTGTTTTTTCCAAGAAGTAGCTACAAGAACATTTACCATATTTAGAGAAGGAAGGTGGTCAATCCCTCACAATCAAGACCCAGAATGCATTGATACAGTCGAATTAACATGAAACATGTAAAACACGCGCATATCCAAAATATTAAAACACAGGTGCCAGACTGATATGGGATACTAACAAAGACCAAATAAGATCTGGACACTATTAGTAGCTTCCAAAAACTTCTAAATCATCATACTTGAAGGTACACTGCAAGCTAACAATCCTTAAATCTCCCTTCATTTAGTTAACTAAAACCATTATTGCAAGTGCTTAGGGTTGTCATTATCCATTATAGTGAGTAATCACCAGATTATTTCTACAATTTATTGAGTAATCAGTTTCTAAAAAAGGCCAAGCAATAAACATGAAGCATAAGGCCTTTAAAAAGGGCTTAAATAAAACATTAAGTGGTAAAAATGCAAACAAATAGTTCATTCTAATGGAAGAGCTTTGAACTATGTTCATAAATACTTTAGTGACAGGATCACCATGCAGACAAACAATATTCATATTACTTAACAGATCAATCTGAACTCCATAGAAAAATTTCAAATGTTAAAGTTGTTTCTTTACTAATTCTCATTAATGACATGCCCACCTTTTTGTTTCTCATTACAGATATTCATTATTTTGTTGCTTTTTTAGTGACAATTTTTTTTTATTATTTTATTATTATTATTGTCTCTTTAAGGAAGGCAACCAAACTACATGTGATTTTGTTGTGTAAGTGAAAAGAAAAGCCCCAATGACTCAACGTGTATGAGATAAATTGCAAAATAATATGTCTGGTAAAACATCCGTATTGTAATAATTACCATCAAAATACTTTATTAGTATTTAGTAAAAATACTTTAAAAATACTTCATTAGTATTTTGTAAAATACTTTTTACAGTACTTAAAAATTGTATACAGATTAAAGATGCTGGAAAACAGATTATTTACACATTTATCTTCAAATCTTGCTGTGTTGCGGCAAGTGCGTTGGTCACTTCTACTGGAAAATGTTACTAAAAAACAACATTAAGTTGTTACTACTTTTAATTATTCAACTACGCATCAGTGTTTATCCGAAAGAAGCTTAAACACTTTCATTTTGTCAGGTTGGGTTCTAGTCTTTATCATGTTCGTGAGAACAAGCCACGTGTGTCTCTCAGGCACTGTTTCTTACTGTAAGAGATACCAGTTAAAGAATGTAAAACATGCACTCTCTTCATATGAACTTGCAACGAATCACTGCCAATTCATTTAGACTGACAGCCCTAACACCACTTGGACTGATGCTCTGTGTTCACTGCCATTCATCAGACCAATATCAGTAGTTGTGCACTGCTAAAAGCTGTGAAACAGTGCTGTGTATTGTAGTGATGACACAAATTACACATCAGATTGTGACCGTCATCAGATCTGATGAAGAGCAGTCAAGTCACTCAAGATTGAAAGTAAACTTCAGTATTTGGAAGCTACCAACAGCATTCAGAGCATATTTTGTCCTACAGTCAAATTAAACCTACAACAGACATCAACTGCCTAAGCACAATGGTCTGTAACTATCCCAGCCCAACAACGACACACTAATCACCAACCACATCCTACTGTATCCTACTCATGCACTACATGGGCCTGCATCAAAGGGGCGTAGCTGGGGGTCTCTTTCTCCTGCTCTACTCACTGCTGGTGTCTGTGGCCTGGCCGTTCATTTGGGGCTGCAGGGCGGCTATGTGTCTGTACCAGCGCAGGGCGTGCACGTGCTGCTGGGGAGGGGGCCCGTGAAGAAGCGCAAAGGCTTCATCGTCCGCCTGCGAGGGCCCATAGCCGGCCAGGTAACTGCGGCTGCTCAGGTACTCATTCAGAGCCTCGGCCCTGCGGGCATCCTCGCTTATGCGCAGCAAGAAGCCATAATCAAAGGCTGGGAAGACAAAGAGGGTACACACACATAGACACACAGGGCAAATCCACAGACAGCAGAAAAGAAAGGGCTCAGTGGCTTCTGTGCTGGACTGATGAAGAACTAACAGAAACGAAGAGCACTCTGAGGAATGATGAAGGATCTGAGAGACTGCTGATATGCTGTCATGAACTGAGGGCATGAGGATATCAGACAGGCTCGATTTACGGACAATCATAGACTTCAACTTTAGATCTACCAATAGATACCTATAAGAGTAAGAATGATCAACACTTAATACATTGTGGATCACCTACACATGTGCCTTGGCTTATCTTGAGGGTTAATGATATCAGACAGAGGCGGGTGAAGCAGCCTAAACACATACTATGGGGAATTCACAACTCAAGTGAAAGTAAAAGTACCTTTCTGTTACGCAGACGGAGTAGGGGTTCAAAAGTGATATTAAAAGTAATATAAAATGATAAACCTCAAAAGACCAATCACAAAGCAGTACTGATGCTGTCACTAAAAAGGAATTAGTAATTAAATATGAAAGACTAGAAGATTCCTGAGCAAAAAGTGGGCCACTTTCTTCACAAATATACGTGAACAGAGGTAAAAATGCTACCATTTGAAAATTCTCAGGAAAATAAATGAAAGCACAGAGCCTCTAAGGTGACATGTTGATTATTTTTTAATAAGGCATGGCCTCAAATTAATATATTGAGGCCACAAATTCATATACTGAGGCCACAATTCAAGTTTTTCATAATTTCTTGTCTCAATACATTAAGTTGGGGCCTCAATATTGCAATTTGTGGCTTCAATATAGTAATTTGTGGTCTCAATATAGTAGTTTGTGGTCATGCCTTAAAAAATCACCTTATCACCTCAGGGCTCCTTCGTAATGTTACAAATCTAAGTCCACGAAGCTGAATAACTGTAAGTAAGTTAACTTAGTTAACTTACTACTCCCATCCAATTATGGATTTAAAGGAAAGAAGGATACAGTGTCATGTAACAGTTACTCATTACAGATTTTCTGAGAATATATTCTACAAAAGAGCGAATAGTTATTCATCAGGTCAGACGTGATCAGATTTATGCTATATTAATATTAAGTGATTGTAGGTAGTCAGCCTGAGACTAATCTAATTCAGCCTGCTGACAACTGTCAAAACAAGCTACTGAGGGGCGAGGCAGCCTGATGGAGACGAAAAGTCACGTAAGCTAACTGTTTCATTTTTCAACAGCACCGTAAAACCCACCCAGATGTCCATTACAGCCCCCACAAAGCTGTACAGAGCTCCACAGCCGCTAATGTTACTATGAGAATGAGCATCTCCACACAGCTGCAGTGGCGCCGAGTCTGAACAGCGCTTTATTTCCTCCCGCTTAGACTCCGTGACGGGAAACACGCTAACGTTAACCAACCTCATGTGCAGAGTAAACTTAACTCCAACTGATTCATTTAAAAGAAGAGTGACCCGCTGTATTTCACACATTACCTTGTTCTCCTGATCCTGCCATTTTCCTGCAGCCTTCTATCTGATGCAACAATAACGTGTCCGGAAAAAACCTACCGGTGACTCTTAGGGACTACAAAACCAGACCGGATTACGCGATTTATAACTCATACACTGTGAAGTAGAGATGTGAGATTCATGTTACTGATGAGTTGTAGATCAGATTCGTTGCACAGTCTATCGGTACGACATGTACGGTCATAAAATTGCTGCCGGGTACATCGCGTTTTCAAAATTCAAAATAAAAGTCTGTTAAGGCACGTTTCTCTTTCAATTTTTACAAAATGAAATGTAACATAAGGATGTCAAAGTTTTTCCTTCTTTTATTTGGTCACTGAGTTTTGTAATTATGTAGAACAACACAGAATCACAGACTTGCGGAGTATGATAAACTTTAGCGTTATTGTGATTAAAATATATCACATTATGCTTTTCTTAAAAATCTTACTTAAAAAATCACTTTTCAGCTGCATGTTTGGTTAAAAACATAGCACATTAGTTCTGTTTAATTGGACTGAATGCAGTACAGTGTGTAAAATGTTTGATACAAGTAATTTGATTCATAGTTTGCCATGTATTTGTCAAATGCATTTTTGCAATGTATGAAAATGGCCAAAAATGTATTTGTTCAATATATTTTTCAAAATGCATTTATTAGTATTCATTATTATATTTTTTATTTGTATGTAGTTTTAACAAAGGTTACAGATGTAACTAAATGGTACTGACTTCTGTGTTTTACATCGTACTTTATGTTAACTATGTACGTATGCAGTAAGACACTCACACAAAATGTATTTTAATTAAACAAGGTGCCAAATAACCAAATGGGTTTTAACAGCGCATCAATACCAACAACACTTGTTTTTGCCATGTTAAAGGTTCATTTGCTAATAATTAAAATTAAGATACTGGACTACAAATTAATTTCAAAAGGTACTGCTGACAGAAAAGTGCATTAGACAAATATTTTGACTATTTTCATACATTTTCAAATGTATTTGATAAATACATTTACATACATTTTTAATAGTACATTTCCATGTGTAACGCATTTTAAAATATATTCGGTTAATATGTCAATATATTTTGAAATACATTTTAATGTTTGGTGAATTTTAACTTATATTGCAATGCAATGAAATGTATTTCAAATATACAAAAATATATGTCCATACGTGGGCGGCACGGTGGTGCAGTGGGTAGTGCTGTTGCCTCACAGCAAGAATGGCCTGGGTTTGATTCCCGGCTGGGCGACCAGGGTCGTTTGTTTGCATGTTCTCCCCATGTCTGCGTGGGTTTCCTCCGGATACTCCGGTTTCCTCCCACAGTCCAAAAACATGCAGTCAAGCCAATTGGACGTGCTAAATTGCCCCTAGGTGTGAGTGAATGTATGTGTATGTCTGTCTGCCCTGCGATGGACTGGTGACCTGCCCACGGTGTATCCTGCTTTCCGCCCAATGACAGCTGGGATAGGCTCCAGCACCCCACTGCGACCCAGAAGGATAAGTAGTTTAAATGATGTATGTATATGTCCATACATTTTTTCTCCATTTGGGTTTTGATAGTATTTTTAAAATGTGGCACTACTTTGTCTGTTTTAAAAAATAAACAGTGTAAAAAATGTCCTGGAGTACTATGATATTACATATTGCTCACCTCAACTTGTACTCCATTATTCCACTGACAATACAATATATTTACAAATGTAAATCTTTCTGTCCTTTGTAATGCATGGCTGTTCTGTTCACCTCTTCTTTCTCCTGTAGTTAAAAAATGTAGCCCACAATTTATATTTATTTGCTGAGTTTAAAAATAACATAAAATATAAAATGTGCCATAAATTTTGCACAGGCCACATTTTATTTTCTTATTTTCTCAAACTGTTAAATTCAGCCATTTAACAATAATTGTGTATTTAAATGTGCGGAAGTGTGTTTTCTGTAGAGGATGTGTGACCTTATTTTCACTTAGAAAATCTACAAAACATGTCATTTGACAAGGAGTGCCCAAATTTTCTGCACATGACTGTCTTTTCTAGCTACAGACTCTTAATTCACCACCTGTATGAGAAGTCAGTGCCAAAATGGTGATACAAATTTGAAAATAAAAAATTATGTCAAGAAATCACATTTTTGTCGGCCTCGTGTTTCAATTACCAAAATTTCCCACCTTTTTAACTGTTATTTTTTGCATTAAAAGTACAACCCAACATTGTACTGAAGCTGTCAGAGGGAAATGTGACAAGGTGGAAAATTTCATGCAAAAACGATCTGCCGTGCTCAAGGTTAGAACAAACCCTGTTACTCTTGACGGACCCTGTCAAAGACAGAGAAACTTACCAGCTTAAATGACATCACTTACTCTTCATCACGTCTATTAATGTTACAGTACATTATCCTTTATGGCTAAACATGTTGGTGTGGAAGGACACATTTAATTATTATGCTTTTCTTAACATTTTTTTAAAGGTTTGATGCCTTTATATGTACAAATATAACTGATGTAGTGTTAATATAGAAACAGATTTATATATGATCATGGTAAAGGATTGATGTTAAATTGACTTTTATTTGGTAATGTTTGAACTATATTTACTGACCAAATCTAAAACTGCCCATATGCCTAATAAAAAGGGATGGTGAACTTCAGTCCTGTTTCGCTGGGTTCCGGCACAGTTTGGTTATTTTCCTGCTCAAGCACACCTGATTAATTTCACCAGTTAATTACGAGATATGCTAGAGCAGAGAAATCAAGCTATGCAGGACTCTGGCCCTCAGTTTTTTTACTTACATTAAAGTTTTTCATATACCATATTTAAGCCTGGATACACTCATTAGCAGATTTTTGTCCCTTATAAACTGCGTTAAATGGCCTCAAATGGTACTCTGTTCATGGAATGACTCATCTATTGTTAGTGAGTAGCCAAACCACTAGGTGGTATCAGAGGGTAAACCACTGCTTTTTTTTCCCTGTGCTGTACATGAAAGACACATAGTCAGGTTTAAGCATATTTTTAGTACACAAGGACGCTCTTAATTTGGATTTCCATTTTGTATTAGACAAAGAGAATACCCCAGGGGACTTTTAAAACCAACTGCAAAACTTGTTGTCAACTAGGCTATAGAGGGGATTTATGTAGATTTTAACACCCCATAAAACTGCTCCTTTAATATAGGGCTGGATTAACCCCCCATACTCTGAATTCCCAACGAATAATTTACTGCTTACTAAAAACTGCTCTGACTGAACGTAGTAGGCCCTTTCCCATAACAGAGTTAAATTAACCTGCCATTCTGCTGGCTGTGCTCTGTCTTTTCCCATATCATTTCTTTATATTAGGGCCTTCTCAACCTGCATTACTGCAGTTTTGTTTTAATAACTTCTATATAGCCCAGTATAGCTTTAACCACTGAATATTACTGGTTTTGCCTTAACTGGTTATGGTTTCTGTGCTAAATGATTTTTTTTCCTGTGATTATTATTTTAACATTCTATTATTTGAAAACACGTTTTCCGTGTAGATTATTGAAGTATACAGATGACCAGTTGACCAGTTCTAACTGTAACACAAAATCCTGTATTATAAAGAAGAGTATGGTCTATAAAATAAGCAAAAAACAAACAAACTAAAAACTAATACATAAACAAATACACATCTGGGAATCTACTGTGCATAAAAAGAAAGGACAAAAACCACAACTGAATGACCATAGCCTTCGATCCCTCAGGTGGCACTGCATAAAAAAACGGCAGGCTTCTGTGATAAATATCATCACATCAGCTTGGGAATACTCTACACTGTCAATAAACACTGTTAAGACTATATTATCAACAGATAAAACCATAGGCATGTCAAACTGTGGACCTTCTGGGCCAAAGTGCTGTGTAGATTAACGTTTAGCCTTGTCTGAATCCAGTTGATAAAGGCCTTGCTAATTAGCTTAAAAGCTGAATCAGGTGCGTTTAATGAGGCAGTGCACTAAAGCCTGCAGTGTTTTGGCCCGCGAGGACTGGAGCTTGACACGTGCCATATGTCAACCAGAAATTCCACTGACTCTGGGTTCGAGCTTGTCTGAAATAGACTGGTTCACAATGGAAACGTGTATTATGGTCTGACGACTCAATCGTTCAGACAGTTTACAGAAATAACAGATGTTATGTTCTTCAGGCCAAAGACGAAAAGGACCATCTTAGTTATAGATCATCTTCAATGGTAGAGAGCGTGTTCAATGTGATGCTCGCTCTACCATTTAAAATCATATTTGTCCCAAGACAGTTCTGGAAGCCTAACCCAGACTGTTACCAACGTAAAGTTTAAAAGTCAATGTCTGTCATGGTACGGGGGCATATTAGAGCCCACGTGTTGCAGGTGTCCAAATTGGAATAAGCGAATATTTACCCAAAACAAAATGTTATTAAGGTAAAAAAATCGTTGTATTTTTGTACTGATTACAGTTTAATACAGGTCAAACTTTATTAATCATCTTTGTATTCCATTAATTAACAAATCTTTAACTGAAGTCTGATTGATGTGATTCATGTCTGATTCATGTCTGACATGTGAGCAGTCATAATAAACATAGTAAATAAAGGCAGCTGCCAGGGTTTTCCTGCCTTTCCAGACACCCTCTGGACCCCTTGCTCCATACGCCATGAGGGCTCAGATACTTCGTAATTCAGGAATGCCAGAGAATGCCAGAGCTGCTACAGCCCAGGCCCTTACACCTTTCTGAAAATGCTGTTGTTGTCATTTCAAATGGCAAAGGCCAAAGGTGACAGCCCTCTAAGCTAATGAATGTCTGTGTTGTTGTGAGACAATGTTTTGCGTCTGTGATGATTTACGCATGTCAGCCATGTGTTATACTGTGTCTACGAGGTGTACGTGTCTGTACGCATCCACGTCACAAACAAGTACATTCTCATGTATCTTGTATCCTGCACACTATTATTGTAATGCTTGCTACTCTACTGTATTTGCATTGCGTTTATTTAAATGTGGTGTCTAATTTTAGTGTACCTCACCTTAGGTGTCCGTCCATTTCAAAAGTGCTAACACGCTAACATCCCGTTCAGGTCAGCCATGCAGCTGACGCACTTCCAGTTCATTACAGTTAAGCTTTAGCTGATCCTCCTGGAATTGCGGCCAGGTAAGGAGAAGCCCAGCTGCGGGTCCCAGGGGCAATATATAGACATTACAGCAGATGGGTGGTATTTACAGTGGCCCTCTGGCAGCACACAGTGCCTTCCTCCTCTGTCCTTTGCTATGGCCTGAGTCCTGGCATTCTGCAGCTGCCAGCAACTCCTCTCTGTCTGCTACCAGCGACCGGGTGGTGACAGGCTGGCAGATCAGGGTCAAGCAAAGGTATGGACCAGTGGTAGGGAAGTGCTTGGAAGAAGAGATTAATAAGCAAAACAACAAAAACGATTTGTCATTAGATCCAGGTATACGTGCCAGAGGGGGTGAAGTGAGGATGGGCATGACATTCATCCATCAGGCATTTAAACATGACATTTCTAACATCACAATACCCTGAGCATTCATTCTCTGATTAGGCAATATATACCAAAGTGTTGCTCAAACATGGCTGGGTTGAATGGCACTTCTCCTTACATTATTACCTTCAACACAACCACAAACTACTGCACTGCAAGGGGGCTTTTCAGAAAATAGGGTTTTACTCAGTTAGTAGGGGTGTAACGACATACATATTTTGAGGATCAGTATGATTCTCAGGTTAAAATATCATTTGAATTTTCATGTTTTATGTGTTAGAAATGTACAGAACTCCAATTAAAAACAAGTTTCAATTCTTTTAGGACTTGTTTGCATCAGATATTGCAAAAACAGTTTGAACCACATGCTCTCTGTGTCCTCACCTACTGGATTCAGCTCACTCCAGCCAGAATGATTTGTGTCCCTACTGCTTCTGCATCCAATAATACTGTTTACATTTGTTGGGGGTGGGGTTGGAGGGTTTGCAGTTTTTGAGGGTTGTCTTGGGAGGGGGGTTGCTGTGGCTGTAGAGGATCTAGGGCTGAATTTAGTTCCCAGTTCAGCCCTGGTGGGAGAGTACGTAGAATAAGCCCCTCCCACTTCACTTTGATAGGTTGCCCCCCAGATGCCTAATTTTGATAACTGACATGAAAGACAGTTTTTTAATACTCTATTGAAATTGTTAGACTCATCAGTTGGCCAGATAAAATCCCATGGCCAAGCCTGGCCAATAGAGAGAGAGATCTGGAACATTCCTAGTAGAAAGTCCTCACACTGGGTTTAAGTTAGCCATCTTACTGCTTTGTGAAATATCTCCAACTCTTTCAGATGAAAGAAGTGTGCTGTACAGACTTCATTGGACAACAGGTCAATATTAACTGTCAATATACAGGTCATGTTTTTGAGTCATGTGGGCTGATGACAGAAGGCAAAATAGTCATCAAAGAAAGCCCATTTAATCAGATTTACCACTATTTGACCATTGTCAATATTATCAAAACTCAGAGGACACACATGGATTCACACATGGGTTATTTTGGATAGTAAATAGAATGAGTATATTTCTGTTGCTGACAATGAAACCCCTGGTTCTTAATACCAGTATAGTAAAGAAGTTCTTTCTCTTCAATGTACCATTTCACATCAAACCACTCGGAATGACTTTGTTTACCTCTCAACGATTAAACTACGCAGATTTGGATAATTCAACCTTTAATTTGACTACAAATGTCTTACTAAATGTTAACAACCATCCTTAGACTGGAACAGAAGGCACTATCACCTAAATAGATCTCTGTAGTCAGTCAATAATCAACCACGAATTAGGATATATGGGGCATCCTCTGTTGATCTTAATAAAGCTATCCAAACAAGGTAAGGTGTGATCCTCGTTATGAGGTCTATTTTGTGTTCATTTGATGGATAAATTGGTGCCAGTATCAAAACTTCACTTTTCTCTGTGCTTAATAATGAGGGAGCCAAGTTCTTTGAGAGATGCCATAGAAAAACCACTTTGGTCCCCTAAAGAACCATGTTTGAAATTGAGAGGTGTGAGTGTGAAGAACCTTATACAGGTTTAAAGAATCATGTAATGTAAACATTCTACACCAATTCAAGGGTTTTTCCTAGAGCCTTTACTTTATGTGAAGGTTCTTTAATCCTAAAAAGGTTCTTTAGACTCACATAACTCCTTTATAAACAAGGTTCTCCAAATTAACTATCCACTGAAAGGTTCTTTTGGGATACAAAAGAGGTTCTTGAATGGCATCATACAAGGAATCCTTTTTGGCACCTTTATTTATAAGAGTGTACATAAACAGAAGAGCATTTGGGGACATAATGAATAACGTCATGAGTTTCGTTTTTTTTTCTTGTCTACATTCTACAGCGGTCTTCTCTTTTTTAATCCTTTCTTTACAAGGAATAAGGTGTGGCGGGTCGTGGGTCTAGAAGGTGTGAGAGACTTTGCTGGAGTCAGAGACTAAATTTAATCGCCTCTGCTCCCCTCCCTTATCCCTTAACCTCCGTTCACCTCCAGCCTCTCTGGTCCTGTCAGCTGGAGGAGGTGTTGGAGGAGCGGCCAGAAATATGGTCTGCGTTATGGAAACGGATGGTTTGGGGTAGTATGGTGGGTGGGTAGGAGGGGGGTTTACTGTTTGGAGGTTTGGAGGTATGTGTTCATTATCTCCCTGTTGAAGAGAGAGAGAAGGGGCTGGGCCTAGATTGTAGGGCACTGGTGGGGGGGTCTAATAAAAGAGAAAGAGGGAGGGCATCTGCTAAGCCTGTTTGTCTGAACCCGTAAGGGACACTCAACCAGGAAAGCAGGATGCCAGAGCCAACTAAAAAAGCAGGTAATGGCATTTGTATAGTTTTCAGCTATTGTGTTTATAAGAAGGACATTTTCTAAGACTCTTATTTTGATTTTTTGATAGAGTTTGAAGTAGCTTGTTTAACAAAGAAATGTTAGAAAGCTATCCTTCCCACAATCATGTTGTTCTTAATGGTTCTGCTATTAGGAAGATATGTTGTGTTTACAGAGCATTACAAAACATTTTCATCCTCCTTCGACTAACATTTGACTCTATCTGTAATACAGTGATTTCCCTCCAAAACATGGCCCTATACCTCTTCACAGGTAGTTTATACGTGTATAGCTAGAAAAACAGTATTCACCCCCAAGTATAGGGCCATGGGTGGTGCTTCATAAAGCAGGATTTCTCAGCAAGCTATGCTAATTAAGATTTCTCAGCAAGCTAATTTAAGACAGAAGTAAGCATTGCCCAGTGGGAATACTTCTTACCTTTCCTCTTATTGGACAGGCTTGACGTTTGGCTTAATATATCTGGCTTACTGGGACATCTTACCTTGTAAAATGATGGCCTGACATGTAGCATGTGGCTGCATTGTAAAAAGAGTTTGATTACAGGTCCCACAATGCTGTGAGTGATAGATTGTGTCATAGAGTCAGCGCTTTCAAAAGTTCAAAGGGAAGTGCATCTGTCATCTGTGCTGCATTTGTCATTTGCCGTGACCTCTCTGAATACATTGCTATAAGATGTGATGTTAGTCACACGGACGGTCCCTGAGAGGGTATTATTTAAAGTAGTAGCTATCATGTTACCAATTCCAGCATCACATTGAATCACACTTACTGTCTGCTGAAACATATTAAGCACAGACCTCAGGGCTCATTATATTATGTACTTTTTTAAAAAGGTTTAAATCAATGATGACCAAATGGTAGCCAAGAGTATATAAGATATGACCGAAGATTTTTGTTATAGAGACTTTTAGTATTACATTTATTATTTTTAAGCTTTCATTACAGTATATAGGGGAGAGCGGCACAACACATTTTGCTTTTTGCTAATAATTTGAAGAGTATTTGAGCAAGATTATTTTATTTAAACAAACAACCTGCACATCTGCAACAAAAGAAAATTGTGTGGACAATTTAGCCTATTTCCCCATTATAACAGACCAAGGGGCTAATTGTAACAGTCGCTAAAACCATTGTCTTGTAAATCAATGCAAATATGATTAATTTAACACAATTCTATTTTGTTTGAACCAGATGAGCTTTCAAAGCTAAATACATCAAAATTTATGCATTGAAGTAAATACAATTCATGAAAAAAAGCTAATATCAAAATAATAAAATTGAAATATATTTAATTTACATGATATTTACAGCATATTTTTGATCAATATATGCATACACACTTCCAAAAAATGAATTGTTTTGAATTTATATGGAGGATATGGACTTCTTTCTGTATTGTATTCATCAGGAGGCTAACCTTACCATGTGGATGCTGTACTTTAGCCCGGCTAGTTCTCACTCTGAATTATGTATATGCTTTACAACAATGCTGCAACAAAGACAGTAATTAAAATAATACAGGTGGCAATGTGATTTATACATTCAATTCAATAACTGAAAAAAATGATGAAAAAAATAATTTTATGGTCCAAAAACCAATCTCAAGAAATATCTATCCAATTGCTATGAAATATGAAAAGATGACCAAAACCACCTCCTACTTGGACTTATTTAACATTTACACATTTCCCCCATGTTAGTTTGTGCCCTGCTCTTCCTGTTTTTCGTAGCCTACAGTCAGGACTACATAACTACAAGCTCTGCAGTTGACAAGTGACCATGACTTTTAGAATTGATCTTTGTGTTTCAAACAGTGTTGAGTAACACTGTGCAGTTGGCAAGGCCTCGTCCATTCGGTCTCTTGGTATACTGTATACAAGCAGTTCTGGAAGCAGACAGCGTGAAAAACAGGTCTTGTACATCAATGTCAGTTGCTGAGCTTTGTAGAAGTGCGACACTTAAAGTTCCATTGACTCCTGTGTAAACATTTCTTCACTAGTAATACACTGTAACCAAAGGCTTGTCATGTTTTCACCCAAGATCATCCCACATATCCCCGAAAGGATCAAGCACCCTAATACCTCTTGCCTGACAAGCCGTTGTGGAGCTATGTGTGCTAAGACCCACAGCATTCGAGCCATGCTACTGTGTCACTTTCAGTGATCCGACTAAGTGATCTGGAGTTAGTGGGAAGATCCTGTAATCTATCGACAGTTTCCTTTCTCTCGATCTCTTTCCCCACCGTGTCTAGAGGTTTTTATACTTTTATATCCTCATCCCAACACAGTCTTTATCTGCCCTGCTTTCTCTTTTAAATCAGATCTAATGAGAGTGACCATTATTATTCTCTCTGTTGTGCAGAGGTCAATTTTGACGTCACAACTGATCGTTCCAGGTTATACTTGAAAGAGGTTATGCCCACGATGCTCAGATGTGTCACATATCCATCAACACCAACTTTAAACTCTCTTCAGCACAAGCTATCACCATTTCGAGGACGAAATAGCTCCCCTGCCCGTCTTTCCTCACTGTGGAATCAGGTGACCGATAAGTGTCCATTGTACTGCTGTCCATCTCTCTCCCACATATTCTTGGCCTCGTTTTGCAGCCCAGGAAACATGCCCTCTAATCACTGACAGTGGAGGGTGTACTTATGGTGCTGGGTTGTGCTTTGACTACTGTTCACAATGCTGAAGCTACTTTCAAACAGGGGTGTTTTCATGCAGTGTATGTGCAGATAAGTAACAGAAGATACCTTGAATACCCTTTCATAACCACTATTTTGTTACCTCAGGAAACCTACTTGCCATGTGCAGATTTTTTTTTTCTAACTTCACACATCTGTTCTGCCAGTCTGGAGCACAAAACAAAACGAGAGTGTGGGTGCCTCCACAGTTTTCAAATAGCAGGTGGAGAGAGAAAAGAGTGCAGTGCCATTCTTCCAATGCTTGTCAAACAACCAAAATAGAGTCCAGCTAATCCCCCACACAGCTACATGTGGCTGGGTCACTGGGCTGGTTCTTAGAGTGCATTTATTAATGGAGGACATATGTATTCTATATTTGAACACACTTGTATATAAGACAGTGCTGAAACACAGTGGACCTCCATGCTGAAGTCAAAAAACACAGAAGATATTATCTATCCTTTCATTTTAAAAAGGTAGAGATTGGCAGATTTTTGGCCAAAATTTAGGCAAATACATCAGTAATCAACAAATAAAGGCAGTAAAAAGTCAAAAAATCAGAAGAACTAATGCAGCACACTTGAAAACATGACTAAGAATTACATAAAAACCACCAAGAAATAAATCTGAGACAAACTAACACAGCAAACTGCCGGTGTTGAGGATAATGAGGGGGTGGAGCTGGAATCTTCCAAGGACATCCAGGAGGGTCGCCCTCATCTGCTCATTTGTTTTTTAATTAAAAACAATGCTCTTCAATTCAAGTTAGCACCTAACATGTGTACTGCCAGAGCTCTGAGTATATAAAAGGAATGTTTTTTTTATGTAGAAGTAAATAGATATGTAATAGAAGCAAGATCCCAAACAGTATATAATGGTGATCATAAGCTGTCGTGTGATGTTGATAATCCTTCATAGGGCTGTTTTGTAACAGATTGAGGACCATGTTTCAGCCTTAAAATATCAGAATGTGACATTTCTTCAAGGATAAACAATAAATATCTGACATGTTTCTTTATTTGCTCATTTTTCTCCTCATTTTATGTTGAGGTGTTGTTGCCTGCTGTGCTATATTCTGCTACACTGTTCATTATCAACAGTTTTTTGTGACTTTGAGTTTAAATAGCTGGCTAACTTGTTACATTGACGGTAGCAAGACATTTGATTTAACATGTCAAATATTGACTTTATAAGTCAACATTTAAAGAAAAATAATTTGTTTATTGTGTAATTGTGAGAAAATAATGTAATGCAAAATCTTGAGTTAAGAAGTCATAGGTTATTGATTCAATAAGTCATAAGTTATTTACACTGAAAGCCAGCGTAGTGCAACAAGGATTCAGGAGGCTAATAAGAAGATTTATTGTAAACGTTTTTCCTAGTTGAGGCGTTCTAAAGCTCTGTCCTGAAGGTAACAGCTAAGATTCATTGCGAATTGTGGATGATTTGGGTCATACACTATAGTAAGAGCATTCCTACCTTCCACATCCCTATACAACTCATCCACCTATAAGCTTGCAGCCATTCTAATGATTCTGTCAGGCTTGCCTTCATCTCTGACAGTTAAATTCCCAAAACAAGCTGTAATTTTAAAAATGAGAATATCTTTCACCAAACAAATGCAGGCCTTTTCTCTGTACAGTTTTACTCACCCCACAGCCTTTGAGCTTTTTTAATTAAAAAGGGTGGGTGTGTAGGTAGTCCATTTACTCCGTTGTTCAGACACATATGCTATGAAAAGGAAAGCTTCCAGTTCTTTGAGAGCTGAAGTCGTCTTTGCAGTCTGCAATCCAGAGCGTCCTATAAAGTTTCTTATAAATGATGTTTGGATCTGTTAACTGGAGGGATCACAGAAGGCCTTTAAGTTAATCTTGTTTTTTTGAAACCACAATTTGTTCAGCGTGTATGGAAGCATCATCTTGGAACATGGATACATCATGAGGGCTGCTTTGAAGACATCCTTTTAGCTTCCTCCAATAGTAAACATGTTTGTAGATAGAAAGAAGGTTGAAAGACGCAAGTTGCTCAGGGGTCTAACATTTTTACTTCCTATGCTGTTCTGCATCTGTGATCTTGGATAAAAATGGTGTATATCATAAATTCCAGCTTTGTGAAGATGAGGATGAACATTACTCTTGGTAAAGGATCATGGAAGTCTAGATTCAGTTCTGTGAATACTTTAGGATTCAGGAATGATGCAGAAAGCATGGTTGTAACTAGCAATGTGTAATGACAAAACTTACAGACAACAAATCAATTGTCTACATCTTAAAAAAAAACAA